ACTCACACACAAAAAAAAAAAAGGAAAAACTTAAAATAAACACACAAACCAAATTTGACCGAATTGACTCAACTTTTCTTATCAAGACGTACTACATAATATTTCGCTAATTTAATTTTTTCAAATTAATTATTTAAAAGAGTACTGCCACATAATTAATTTAGTGTTTGAGTTATTTTCATCTTACCCATATCTTCGTTTGTCTTTTGGAATTGTCCGCTCGTAGCACAATAGAATTGTCTGATTGTGGCCCAACGCGCAGTTTCAATGGCTCCATATGGAAGACAACTTTAGTTGCCCATACAATGCTTTATCTGTGTTTGATCTTTAGGCTTTTTATGAGTTTTATGTATAATTCAGCATTTTCTTTTGGATTATTAATTACGATTAAAACCAAAAAAAAAAAAATCTTAAGACATACAAAACTACAGGCAGATTAAGACAAAGACGTAATTGTTTAAGACTAATAATACATATTAAACTGCAGGCAGGCTAAACTTTAGTCAAGTGCCGGCAAAACCTAAGAAGTTACGTAAAACTCTGGTCAATTACCTCATATATCAACTCACTTTACATAAATATATATATATATATATATATATATGATGGGTAGATCATTTTACCTGTGTACATATGTATATATACATATATAAGGAGGTAAGTAGTTAATAACTTTGTGGTATACGGATCATTTTTTGGTGCATACCTTTCCCTTAAGGCACCACTGAAATCTTCGCTGTGATCTTATAAAAACCGAACCAAGTTTTTTTTAATAAGAAAAAGGAAGACGGAAAAACCCAGCTGAGAACACTTCCAACTCGCATAAGAAACGAGAGAAGGAGAAGCGATGAACTGGTTTAGACGAGAAGTGCTTATGCAGCTTTTGCTGTTAGTATTTGTATTATCATCAACATCAACAACACCAATCGCAGCTCAGGCGAAGCCTGGTTGCCCAGACAGCTGCGGCAACCTCACCATCCCATACCCATTTGGAACCAAGGAAGGTTGTTATCTCAACGACGATTTCTTCATAAACTGTACAGACTCCAACAAGGCCTTCCTCGCCGACACTAATATACCAATCATAAACATTTCCCTAGACGGCCATCTTCGTGTCTCCGTCCGGACATCCTACGACTGCTACGACAACTTCGGTAACCTAACTGATTGGTACGATAACTACCTCGTTTCTCCCGGTCGGTTCCTCGTTTCCTCCAGCAGAAACATGTTCACCGTCGTAGGTTGCGACACTTACGCATATCTGACAACTGAGGTGGGGAAGAAATATGAAACGGGTTGCATGTCGAAATGCTTTGCAATGGAAGATGTGGTGAATGGGTCTTGCACTGGTATTGGCTGCTGCCAAATTTTTATACGAAAAGGCCTGAAAGGTTATAGTGCAGCTACTTATAGCTTTGATGGCCATAAAAATGTGACAGATTTCAATCCTTGCGGATATGCTTTCGTGGTTGAAGATGGCTACTTTAACTTCTCCTCCCTGGATCTGCAAGACAATCACGGGGAGTACCCTGTGGTGCTTGACTGGTCAACTGGAAACTTCACATGCGAGGTGGCGAAAGAAAATAATGAATCATATGCATGTAGGGAGAATAGCTTTTGCTTTGACTCAGATAACGGGCCTGGATATGGCTGTAAATGTTCAATTGGTTACGAAGGGAATCCTTACCTCCCAAATGGATGCATAGGTATATGTCGATACTCTCACACTATATACACACACACACACACACACACACATATATCTTGGATTAGAGAATAATGTTAGTTTATTCTTATATCTAATCTCTTTTAACAAGATGTTGACGAGTGCAATGAGGATAGTCTCAATCAATGTAGTAAATCAGAATACTGTCACAACATAGAAGGAAACTATACGTGTATCTGCCCGAAAGGTTATCATGGAGATGGTAGAAAAGATGGAAATGGTTGCATTGCAAATCAACCAATATGGGCAAAGATTATGCTTGGTAAGTATAACCATTTTTTTTTTAATTTACTTCCCGCAAGGTACCATTTTTAATATATATATATATATATATGTATATATATATGAAACTAAACTAATTAAATATCGGTAGCACCTCATTGTTGTATGAAAATGTTAATTCTAACTTTTCTTTTTAATAAAATTTTTCTAGGAACCAGCACTGGTCTATTACTTCTGTGTTTCGGAGCTTCTTGGTTATATTGGGGATTTAGACATCGAAGACTTATTAAAATGAGAGAAAATTTTTTTGAACAAAATGGTGGTATCTTGTTGAAGAAAGAACTCTCAAATGAAGAAGGGAAGAATGGAAAAACAAGAATATTTAGTGAAGAAGAACTCAAAAGAGCTACTAACAATTACCATGAAAGTAGAATCCTAGGTCGAGGAGGTCAAGGTACAGTTTATAAAGGAATACTTAGGGATAATCGAGTAGTTGCAATCAAAAAAGCAAAAATTGGAGATAATAGTCAAGTAGAACAATTCATCAACGAAGTTATAGTATTATCTCAAGTCAATCATAGAAACGTGGTCAAACTCGTAGGATGTTGTTTGGAGACAGAAATTCCTTTGTTAGTTTATGAATTTGTCACAAATGGTACCCTTTTCGATCATCTGCACAAGAACGAAAGTCTTGCATCTAAACTTTTGTCTTCATGGGAGACTCGTTTAAGAATAATTATAGACACTGCAAATGCACTTTCCTATTTACATTCTGATATTTCTATTCCAATTGTTCACCGTGATATCAAAACCACAAATATACTTTTAGATGATTTGTATACTGCAAAAGTGTCTGATTTTGGAGCTTCAAGGATGATCCCAGCAGACAGAGAACAACTAACAACACTAGTTCAAGGTACACTTGGGTACTTAGATCCTGAATATTTCAATACAAGCCAGTTGACTGAAAAAAGTGATGTTTATAGTTTTGGGGTTGTCCTCTTAGAGATTCTTACCGGAAAGAAAGCTATTTCTTTTGAAAAATCTGAGATGGAAAGAAATCTTGTTAATTACTCAATTTCTTGCATGAAAGAGGATCGTATTGATGAAATTTTCGATCGCGGCGTGTTAAATGAGACGAATGTTGAACAACTTAAGAAAGTTGCCCAATTAGCAGTACAATGTGTGAGAGTTAAGGGTGAAGAAAGACCCACAATGAAGGAAGTAGCCCTGGAATTACAAGGATTAAGAGCCATGCGTAAGCATCCATGGGTTTCACATGGAAGTGATTTAGACTTTGAAGAGGGTGAATCCTTGCTTGCTCAGAAATCTTACAATTATGGCAATGATATATATAATACTAATAGCACATCGGATTATCGAAGCATGAAGAAGGAGATCAGTTTGGAGATCGAAAATGGAAGATGATATATATTTTTTTTAATTTTTTAATTTTTTTTTCAGATTTCTTAGTCAAATGATATGTATATAATTCCATAATTTGGTTCTAAAATAACTGTGTATTATGATAAGTTTAATATATATATATTACCAGTAACTTTTTGTTCTTTATGTTAATTTGTGTTAAAATCAAAATATATTATTCTGGAATTTATAGTTTACTATTAAAATCGATTTCAAATTATCATAAAAATTTTCCATAATTTTAATTGATGATTCATCACTTTGTGACAATATAATTATACTTATATAGTTAATCTTATATTGAACTAGTATAAACTATAATTTATATAATGATAAAAAATTGGTTGTGACCAAATTAAGATTTGAAGTAATGTTAATTTTAATTTTAATTTTCATGTGTATCTATACGATTGAGTTTTGGTAGTTTTCTTAATAAATAAATACTTTAATCTTTTAATTTACTTAAATTTTAAATAAAAGTCAGTCCATTTCAGTTTGGACTAGACCAAACCAACCTAGCAATTAATACATTCTTGTCTTTTTGGTTAATGTATGTATCTATGTATGTATGTAACAAGTAATGTAGTTTGATTCAGTTTAATTCTAGACAATAAACATCCCAAATCTACCATAAATTCATTCAAGTATACAAAATTCTCACAACCCCGATACTTAGAATGCTAAAAAATGAATGAACACTAAAAAAAATATCTAGCCAAAGAAATTGAAATAAAAAAAGTTGAAACTTTTTTTGGAAATTGAAGTTGCATGTTCCAAATATGAAATTTTAATTTGTCAACAAATAAAAATACATTTATAATCTATTAAAAGATACATATAAGCTAATATGCAAACTATTTACCAATTTTATTGATTCTAATCACAAACTAAGAATAACAGAAAAATAAATATTTTTTAATAAGGAAATGTATCAAGATTTAGTTGAAAAATTGATCTACCTACCTCCTACAAGGTTAGATATTAACTATGCAGTAAGTGTTACAAATCAATTCATACACAATTCGAAAAAAGTACACCTACAAACAGATATTACAACGTTAAAAGGTCATCAAGAAAAAGAATTATGTTCAAGAATAATGACATATTGCTTCACATTATGTAGGGTCAGTTATAAACAGAAGATTTACTAAAAAATATTGTATATTTATTAGAGGCAACTTAGTCACCCAAAAAAGTAAGAAACAAAATATAATTACGAGATCAAATACATAATTAAAGTTTTGGATAATGACATAAGAAATATGTGAATTATTATGGATAAAAAGAATTTTTAAAATATCTTAAAATTAAGTGTCATAATCATATGTGTCTATATTGTGATAACAGGTTAACTGATAGAAAAGAAGGAAAAGCAAAATGGAACAAGGAAAGAGTAGAATGACAAAGGAAAATGTTTTCTTCTCTGTGAATGTTTTGCTGCTTACAGGAATAATATATTGCTACTTGTGTTGTACTGTAGCAGAAGAAAACAAAAGGAAAAAAACAAAAACGGTTACAGTATAATTAATTGGTCTTAATACTCTCCCTCAAGATGGAGAGTACAAATTTATTGTACCCATCTTGCTCAACAAATTGTCGAACTGTGTAAGATGAAGGGCATTTGTCATTAAATCTGCCAGTTGATTTCGAGTGGATATGTGCATCGTCTTCAAGGTCCCATCTTGAATCTTCTCACGAACAAAATGACAGTCAAGTTCAACGTGTTTTGTTCTTTCATGATACATTGGATTTGAAGCAATGTGTAGAGCTGCCTAATTATCACAGTAAAGTAATGCAGGACTTTGGTGTTGCACCTTTAAATCTCGTAACAATTTCAGAATCCAAACGATTTCGCAAGTAGTGTTGGTCATGGAGCGATACTCGGCTTCAGCAGATGACCGAAAAACGACTTGTTATTTCTTTGATTTCTATGAGACTAATGAAGACCCAAGAAAAACACAATAACCAGTGAGGGATCTTCTAGTGTCAGGATATGTGCCCCAATCAGCATTAGAAAAAGCCTTAATCTGAATGACAGATGATGAAGGGAAGAAAAGACCTTGTCCAGGTGTCCTCTTGATATACTAAAGAATCCGTAAAGCGGCTTGAAGGTGACTGGTTCTAGGAGCAGCCAGAAACTGACTCAATCTATTGACAGAGTAGCATATGTTAGGGCAAGAGATGGTCAAGTACAACAGTTTTCCAATCAGTCGCCGATAGTTGGTGATATCACTCAGAAGTTCGCCATCATCTTTAAAAATCTTGATATTAGGATCCATGGGAATAGATGAGGGTTTACAACCAAGATATCCAGTCTCAGTTAATAAATCCAACGCATATTTTCTTTGGCATAAGGTGATTCCAGTGTCATTTCTTGCAATTTCGAGTTCAAAAAAATATCGAAAAGTCCCCAAATCTTTCATTTTGAATTTTTATCTGAGTGCAGCTTTGAGCTCTTCGACAGTCTGATCGTCATTACTAGCAATAACAATGTCATCGACATACACCAACAATGCTAGGAAGGCTTTACCTTGTTGCCTGACAAATAGGGAGTGGTCACATTGTGACTGATGGAAGCCTTCTTGAAGTAATACTTGTGAGAACTTATGAAACCACTGTCAGAAAGCCTGTCTCAATCCATAGATTGACTTGTGTAGGCAGCAAACAGGTTGATGTGGAAAAGTCTCCCCATTTCGAGGAGAATAGCCTGGAGGAATAGTCATATAAACCTCTTCGTGAAGGTCACCATGAAGGAAAGCGTTGGTGATGTCCAACTGAGTCAAGCGTCAACCATGTATAGCAGCTAGTGAAAGCAAAATCTTGACAGTAACCAATTTGGCAACAGGAGAGAAGGTGTCAAGGAAATCTATGCCAAATTATTGTGTGTAGCCCTTAGCAACTAGACGGGCTTTGTGTCTTTCTATGATCCCATCAGTTTGATATTTAACTTTGTAGACCCACTTGTAATCAACGGGTTTCTTCTCAGGAGGGAGGGAAACAATGGACCAAGTGTTATTGTTCTCTAAGACACGTAGCTCCACGTTCATAGCATTCATCCAAACATCGGACTGGTTAGCCTCATAAAAGTTGGTAGGCTCAGTGTGGGATGAAATGGCACAAATAAAGCTGTGATATTGGGGTGTAAGTTTGGTATGAGTAAGGAACGAAAAAATGGGATAAAGTGCATGTGTATCTGTATGGTAGCAGCGATAGTTAGACAAATGAGAAGGTGGTCGTGTTATACGTAGTGGGCGAGATGAGAGTGTTTGGGAGGACTCATGTTGTGAGCGAATAGGTGTATCAAGAGAACCTGAGGAGTGTGTGGACGTATCGAGAGGAAGAGGCAAAACACGATCATGAAAAAAATCATTATGAATGGGATCTAATGAGTGAGAGGAAAGAAACGGAAAGATATGTTCATGAAAAATGACGTTATGTGAGATGAAAATTTGGTTGCTTTTGATATCGAGAAGTTTATATCTTTTATAACCCGAAGGGTAACCAAAGAAGACACAAGCTCTAGAACGAGATGAAAATTTATGGCGATGACAATTAAGAGTTGAGCAGTAGCACAGACAACCAAAGGTACGCAAGTGATCATAGGAAGGTTTTGTTTGAGTTAATAGTTCAAATAGAGTTTTATTAGATAACAAGGGGGAAGGTGTACGGTCGATTAGGTAAACAGCAGTCAAGATGCAATCGCCCCAATGCACAAGGGGAACATGGGATTGAAACAGTAAAGCACGTACTACATTCAAAATGTGTTGATGTTTTCGTTCAACAATAGAGTTTTGTTGGGGAGTCTCAACATAAGAACGATAAGAAACAATACCTTTTGACTTGAAAAATGAATGAAAATTCAACTTGTGCGCATTGTCAGATCGCACAGATTTAATAGAAATATTATATTGTGTAAGTATGAGAATATAAAATTCAGAGAAAATGATAAGAACGTCGAACTTTTGACGAAGGAGATACACCCAAGTAGTCCTAGTGCAATCATCAACAATTGTAAGAAAATATTTGTACCCTTCGATAGTGAGTGGAGAGAAGGGACCCCAAATGTCGATGTGGATTAGATCAAATAGATGGTCAGATAATCTATTGTTAAAAACGAAAGACAATTTACGTTGTTTAGCCAAATGACAAATTTTACAATGAGAAATATTCAAAGTTTATAAGTCTTCATTAATATACTAAAGTTTTACATGGGAAAGATGACCCAATCTAAAGTGCCATAGGCTACTTTTAGAGTGAGTGGAAGCATAATGAACAGTAGGAAAAGAAAAACATCTAGTCGTTAAGTAATAGAGGTTGCCAATGCATTTACCCTTCCCAATCAACAAGTCGCGAGTGCGGTCCTGGATGACACAAGAATGAAGAAAAAAATTAATTGTGCAGTTGTGGGTGGTGGTCAACATGCTGACACTGATAAGGTTAAAGCAAAAATGAGGGATAAAGAGAACATCATGTAGAGCTAGAGTGTTAGTGAGGAGTGTACTTCCAACTTAATTGACTAACACTGAACTACCATTTGATAAAGTGACTGGGATGGGATGCACATTTTTAAGGGTTGTGAAAAGGGTGGGTGTGCAACAAATGTGATGTGTGGCTCCAGAGTTAATGATCCAGCATCTAGAGGTAAGTGTGTGCGTGAAGTTAGAAAGGCAAAAGGGTGTGTAGGATATACCTGCCGCGTGAGGATCAGGAGTGGCGTGACTTGTGGAAAGAGATAGGTGGTCCGGAGAGATGACGGAGTTCGGTTGGTGGAGACGTGCACTTAGGTGAGCAATAATGTTCTGAATTTGCGATGTGCTTAAGTGATCGATGGAAGTAGCAAAATTAGATGCCGGTAAGTATTCGTCGACAGAGGCGGAGGAATTTGTGAAATTCTACACTGGTCTTGCAATCGAGTGCGTGCCCGAGGAGGAGGAAGAAGCGTTTTCTAGAAAAAAAGACTTCATGGGCTAAGGCTTGGTTAGCAGAGAAGAACCCGGACCTGG